CAAGCCGTTAACCCACCTGTCACATCGCTACATTATCCCCCTGACGTCTTGCTACACCTTGAAACGCCTTGACTCCAAGTCTTGGACGAGTTGCTTGAAGTGCACAACATGCTTGATGTCCTTCATCAGTTCCCACGTGGCTTCGCTTTCGGGCTGACCATGCCACTTGACCAAGTACTCCAACTTGCGATTGAACTGGCGCTTCTTGAGTAGTTTCTCGACAATATACATTTCTTCGCCGGTGGATTCGTCTAGTACAACAGGAGTAGCTTTCGGGATAGGCCGGGAGGCAAACTTGGCTTCGTTGGGGTGATAGTGCTTAAGTCGATCAACATTGAACACGTCATGAACACGTGACATCGAGCGAGGCAACTTTAGGCGCATGGCGTTGTCATTAATGGCTTGGACAATCTCAAAGGGACCGATGAATCGTGGAACCAACTTGGAACGCTAGGGCGGCGAAGGCAAGAAACTGGTACTGAACCATGTTATTGTTGGGTCAATGGAAATTGCAAATTGAGACCAATGGCTCTCGAGCTGGATGTAGCACTTGACTTGCCATGCGTAACACGCTGGGAAATATGTATCAGGTCAGCTGTTGTATGCACCAGATCAGCTGTTGTGTGTACTGTCTGTGTTCAATTTGTGTTGGCAACGTGATGAAAAGGATCGGTCATGATTGGTCGCACATTTTGGTACTGGACTCAGTTCATAATAACGTTACGACGTATTAGTCAATAGTGATGGAATTATGTCGCGAAAACCAATTTGGAGGTGCGAAAGTCAAAACCCTAAACCCACACGTTTAACTATAAAGACGTAATTAAACGGTGACTGTCGCACCTCCAAATTGCTTTTTCGGGCCGTTCAGACAGTCCGGTACCCGGCGAGAAAATTTCTGGCCGACCTGATGACCGCGGAGCAAGACGACTGTACATCGTCTGTTCCGGTCGCCACAGGGCCGACGCCAACCGGTGGCGGTCGACGAGGCGTGGCCGTTTGGTGGACCATTGAGCTTTACGCCTCCTGAATTTTGCGGGCCATCTGGGGCAGTTCCCGGTGTGACTGCCCCTGTAACTGAAGACTGGGACATGGGTCAAGGCGATGTATACATTCACAACGCACCGGACCACCCAAAGACCCGATGTGCAAGGGTTCGACAAGGAAGAACGGCGAGCGTTCATGGCGTCATACAACCCGTACATCAGCCAGACGAATGCCCTTACAGCGAGAAGCGAGTCAAGGCCTCGGTGGTTTTTGACATGTCGATCGCGGACGCAGATTCTCGGATCGGGCGAATGTTGGACGGCATGGCGGCCGCCTTACGCCGAGACCGCCAGGAGTGGGTTATTCGAGAAGAAAGTGCCGCCATCGTAAAGATCATTACCGAGGCGGTCAAGCCGGTGTCACTCCATCGGGCAGTGACAGAGCAGATGGCGCTGACGCGAAACAAGCCCCTGAAGAAGGACGTGTACCGTTTCGTGCGTTGGTTGCGTGAATTTGCCATCGGCCATGAGCGTTTTGTCGGCTATGAAGAAGAAACGAAGCCGGCCGGGAAAGCTGACCCGCCGAGGATGCCGCAAGGAAGCGGCCAAACATTTAGGCCAGCTTCAGCGCAGGCGCCACCGAGAGCGACCCCGGCACCATTTACGCCTCAGGCACCGACTAGTTCGACGCCTGGCAGCGGCTGCTTGAAATGTAAGTCCACCACTCACAAGGTCCGTGAGTGTCCGTGCGACTGCTTAAAGCACATGGCCGGATGCTTGGCCAAAAACGTGGTGACTGGAGCCGTGGTGACGGTCGGGCTGACGCCGGCCGAGGACGAGGAACACCTGGTGGTCGTGTAGCGACGATGCGAACGAACGCCGTTAAGGTGGGCCGCGAAGACCTGACGGCCACGGTGGATGGTGTCGTACCGGTCCGAGCCTCGCTACTAGACTCGGGCGCTGACCTGTCGGTTGCTTCAGGCGGTCTAGTCTCAGCGTTGTTGGCGGTGGGTGCATCTCCCGAAATTATCGTGATGGGGACCACGACCCTCCGGCCTTACGGTACGGATAGTCGACCGATCACTGTGACGAAGCAAGTTCGCCTTGGACAAACGCCTGGAGTTCAACACGGGGTGTGGACCACTAATGTTACGCGGCCTTCGCGTTTGGATCGACGAAGCCGAGGCTGCCGTGGAACTGACGCTTGGGTTGCTGGTGATGCAGAAGCTCGGGTATAGTGAGCAGACACTACTCGAGAACGCGCGTCGGCAGCAGGCGGTATGGGACTTCGCCGATCAGCCGGACACGACGCCTGGCATAGCGATGCATCGGACACTCCGCATGGAGGAGCTGTCCGATGGTATTGACGACGACGAAGGCATGTGCTGCGCGACGCCAGAATTGGGTATGATACCTAGTCTAGCTGACGCCGAGGCAGTTCGTACCGTCTTGATGGCCAAGGTGGCCGAGGCAGCAGCTGACGGCATGGAAGAACCTGCCGTTGAAGCCCTCCAAGACCTCCTGCTGAAGTTTCAAGGTGTTTTCCGCCTGATCTTTGGGCGAGATCCTCCAGTCCGAGTGGAGCCTTTGAAGGTGCACATCAAACCGGGGTCCGTACCGGTGAAGTCAGGGCTCAGGCGTTACCCTCCGACCCACATGGCGTTTCTCGAGAAGCATGTGCGGGAGTTAGAAGAGGCGGGCTTAGTGTATCGGAACACTCGGTCACGTTGGAGGATTGTCCCGAAAAAAGATCCGGGCGACCTGCGGATGACGATTGACTCGAGGCCAATCAATGCATGCACCGA